TTTTTTTTTTTTTTTGGTCTCTTTAGGCAGAATCTCCGTTTATAGTTCAGGCTGGCCCTGAACTATGTGGCCCAGGCTGGCCTCAAATTTGCAGTGAACTTTCTGCCTCAGCCTCCCGAGTGCTGGGATTACAGGTGTGTGCTACCATGCCCACCTCTATATGAGCTTCTTTTAGGAAACATCTGACTTGATAGTATTAAATTACTTTCATTTCTATATTAAACATAGTTCATAGATACTACACTTGATCTTAGCCAAAAGGCTGAGAAGTGATAAACATAGATCACAGATACAGATTCACTTTAGATAGCAGGAAAATGGTTTTAGCTGACATGAAAAAAAAAATCCTACTACCTTGAAACTGTTCATCATAAGTGATTCCTTTTTGTTATTTTCAATGCCAGAAAATGAGAAAGGGATAAGAAATAAATCTTAATAAAAAGATAAAAACTTCTGTGTGGATGTTTCTCAACTTTCTGGGAAAATTTTTCTACAAAAGAAATTTAAGTAATTTAGAGTAAGTCAATGCTGAATGCCATGGACCTTCAAAATGGAAGACTCAGGAACCTCCTCAGCAAACTTAAATTAGAAAACTTAAATTTCTTAAATTTCCTTTCCTAAGGCATACAAAATTTCAAGCAATGAGTAAACATTAGCTATAAGTACTTACCCCAAATGTTAATATCGTCATGCCCGGCCTAAACAAACAGGCTGCTTTCAGCAAACAACAGCAGCCTCTCAGTAAATAGGACAAATGGACACAAAATGAAGTATACAATCCTCTCGTGGTGAGAAGTCCAGTAATTGTCTACACACCTTAGCAGACTGTCCTTGGGTGTCCAGGTCATAAACATTCCTTATGATTATAGCCCCTTCCCTCAAATCTATATAAGCAGTTTTTTTTTCCTGCTAGCTGCTAGAATCTGTCTCTGATTTTAGTCTGTTTACTGGAATAAACTTTTCTTCACAAAAAGGCCTGTTTGAACAAGTGGATTCATGTGCGCCGTTTATAAAACATATAATTTTGAGAGACAAGTTGTTAAAAATGCACTTCTTCGTTGAGGTAGAACTAGGAACATTGTTATAAGAGTACTATAGTTTCTTGTTTGCATATATAAAACTTTTAAAATTAGTTTTATGATTTCTTTAAGCTTTGTTTAAAAGTCTTAAATAATATTTAGAGAAAAATTCCTTTGTTGTTCTCTTGAAACTGGGAAAATAAGTTTATGTTTAGGGAAAAAGGAAAAACAGAAAGAAAAGAAAAATCTTTTAAAAAGCACTTCAGTACTCTGAAAATACTCATTTCCAAGAGTCACATTGCAAGAATATCCAGCAATAACATTCCATAAAAAAGTTTTAGAAACCAGAACTACCTTTTAAGAAAAATACAACAAATATTAAGAAAGTCAGATTGATGATTTAAAAGTCAAATTGCAACAAAATTTAGCAAGTGTTTTAGAATTTTTACATTTATTGTATTACCAAGGGGAAAAAAAACCTGTATACAAAGGTATTACAAAGGTAATAAAACATTCTGTACAATAAAAGATTTTAACATTTTAAGAACTATTGCATATTGATACAAAGCTTAACTTTAAATAATTTAACAATGTTTGAGAACTTTTAAAAATCATTTTCATGATTCCCTTCAAATTTGTACCAGTCACTAAGAAGCATATGAAAATTGGATTTTCTATGCTGTTGGAATCTGTAATCATTGTAGCCAGGTATATGTGCACTAAGTCACACCCTTGCCCACTTTTTAATTTTGAGACAGAGTTGCTATGTTGCTATTTTCCTCACTCAACTTCCCAGAGTGCTGGGACTGCAGGTGTGTGGCACCACATTCAATCTAAATGCAGTGGTTACTTCAAACAAACAAAAAACACTGGGTATGGTGGCACATGCCTGTAATCCCAGCACTTGAGAGGCTGAGGCAGGAGGATAGCAGTTCGAGACCAGCTTGGGCTACACAGTGAGTTCCAGGGTAGTCTCAACTACATAGTGAGACCCTGTCTCAAAAAAAACAAAAAAAATTTTTTGGGCCGGGAATTTAGCTCAGTGATGTTTGGCCTGCCTGGCAAGCACAAGGCCCTGAGTTGATTTCCAATTCCAAAAAGAATTTTTAAAAATTTTAAAATACATTTTTATCTTGTTTGTTAAAAGGGATAGTGGGAACATGAGTGGTTTTTTTGCATGCATGAAAAAACGTAGAGATATGGTTACTTTTGAGATTTGATCTTATCCACTATTAAAGTGTTTGCTTTAAATTTTATGATATATTAGTTAAAATACTCATTTGATTAAGTCTAAAAAGATACAAGCAAACCATACGTTTATCCCTGATTACCTAATTCCTGGGCCAATGATAAGCAGCATGAAATTTTCTATATATGTGGTATGAAAAAAATTCTAATTTCTTCCTTTCATATTCAACCTTAGGGGAAAAAAACAAACCAGAAACCTCTCAGTGGAAACTTCATTCGAATCAGAGTACTTCTAGAGATTAGGATAACAGAATTTCAAAAGTGAATTCAATAATTGGCATTATCCTCAATAGGAAATAATTCTGCAAAGAATAAGTTCAAAAGAAGGTTCTTCAGATTTGGGCAATAGTCACTCTAAAGAGAAACCCACTTCAGGCTCTTACCAACCCATCCAATCTACAGGGATTAGATAATCAGGGGTGTTTGGATTAGAGATTAATCAGAGTGAAGTGACATACACAGATGTTGGTTTATTATATTTATCACTGCAATTTACAGTGTTTCTTCTTAGACATTATTTAATACAAAACTGAGGTAGGAAGGTTTGGTATTTGACTAAAAATAGTCCCCATTCTCTTGTTTCTCCATGCTGTTTAACAATATGTGGTAATCTTTCAATAAATCAATTTCTGATAAAAATGTGTTACTAGGCAACCTGGATTACCAATTCTAAGTCTCTCTCAACATGGACAATATAATTAGTTTTCCTGAAGGATTACGTTAAAAACTGACAATCTAGCTATTTCTGTACATAAAGATCATGAGTAGACAGACCCAGTTACCAATTTAAAAGGCCATTTTAAGACAACAGGTTCTCATGACAGAAATCAGAATAGTGCTTTGGAGGTATAGATTAAGCAATGGTCTGAAGGAAATTTCAAGGATAATTATTACATGCATATTTACACACATAAAAATACTTTGATATACACTTAAAACTGATGTTCTTTAAGCAGTTTTTACATGTTATTCCTCAAAAAAAAAGATGTCTTTGAGAGCAAGAGTTTAATCTCATTCACCTGTAACATTTCCTGCTTTGCACATTAGACATTCAAAAAATGTGATACATGATTTATTATACAAATACTGGGGCATCTGTACAGAGGTGAGGTATCAAGGAAGTGCATGAGGGACACTTGAGTTTAAACCTGCTACATATAGAGCTAGCTATATCAAAGGTATGAAATAATCCTAATAACTAGAATTTATACTTTAAATATGGCACTACTATTCTTAGTAGAGGGACTTTTAATCTCAAAAGGGTTGCAGGAGGGTTTTAAAAAAGAAAATGAGTGCAGCAGGTCAAGGTGCAGAAGTGTATTTCATAAGACAAGTATTCTTGGCATCACTGCTTTTCCTGCAAGGTTGAGTACCTTTTCTTTTAAAAACCATCCCCTGCCCACAGTGTTATAATCACTCCTATGTCAGGTTCACTCTTCCATCTCTTAAGAACAGCTACCATTTATTCAGTATCAACTATGCCGGGGACTGTGCTAAGTGCCGGAGTCCCAGAGATGAGTGAGATGATACTTAAACTATAAATTTTGTCATATGGGCACATACACAACTGTACCTCGGCTGGGGGTTCAGGACTAAGCCTCATGCAGAAGCCTGGTCTTAAGGATGAGAGTGTTACACAAGTATGGACTCTTGCTATCTATCCAGTTTGGTACCCACTAGTATATGTGGCTATGAGTAAAACTTTTTCTAATGATACTACTTGTATTTCAAGTGCTTAGTGGCCACATGGCTCAGACCACCATGAATTAGCAAAGGTAAAGAACAGTTCCATTGTTTAAAAAAAGTCATTGAGCTGGACTACAGTAGCTTCTAAAAACAGAACATTTACCTAGAATGTAAGCTCCATGTTGGAATCTATTCTGTCTTATGTTCCATTATGTCCCAAGCACTTAAAACTAAGCCTAGCGTGTAGTACATGTTCAATTAGTCTTGTTGAATACATTGTTAAATGAAGCTAAAAATAAAAGAATGCACGTTCTAGTAGCAGAAAAGCAGATGCAGAGTAGGTAACATTAAAAGTATGGAGGTCTGACAAAATGTTTTTTTCCAAGGGAAACGAATGAGGTATTAAGGATAATTTATTTTTAAACTTACAGATTTTTTTATTAGTATATTTGCAGTACAAAATACCTTCATTGTGGGCAGTTTGTACAGGTAAATGCAAATATTATATCTTCTTATGCCCCTCCCATCTCTTGGTCCCTTTCCCCTCTGCAAAAGATCTATCTCCCTGCCTCTTTTGGTCTATCTTTTGTGTGCACGCATGTGTGTGTGTGTGTGAGAGAGAGAGAGAGAGAGAGAGAGAGAGAGAAGGGTAGGAAGAGGGAAGGTGGGAGAGAGAGATTGGGGAATTGAACCCAGAGCCTTCCTACTGAACTACAATCCCAGCCCCTCATTTATTTTTTTGAGATAGGGTCTTGCCAAAACTCTAAATTGCCCAGTATGGGCTTCAACTTGTGATCCTGTCTCAGCCTCCCAGAATTCTGGGATTATAGGAATGGGCCAACAACTGGCTTGGGGAATGGGGTGTTTTTAACTGGAGCATATGGAAGATTCTTGTTGGGGGAAATAAAGGCCTTTATTGAGAATATGAAGAAAAGGCAATGAAAGGGCAGATACTAGAGATTTTTAGGAGGCAGATTCAAAAGGACTAAGACTGAGTGTGAAAAAGATAAAGATCTGATTTTGGGGCTGGGGATTTAGCTCAGTGGTTCTGCTGCCTGTCTCGCAAGTGCAAGAACCCGAGTTCAATCCCTAGTACAAAAAAAAAAAAAATCTGACTTTGAATATTAAATATCCCAGATACAATATCCTATTAAATATCCCAGATGGTAAATGATAGTGTCATTAAGCAAAAATAATGCAATAGGAGAAGCCAATCTATATGGGCATTCAGGAAGCATAAGAGAAAAGCCGAAGCTGTGGATATTGCTGAAATTGAAAAAAATAAGCACCAACTGTGGTTGGGATTCTAGAGGAAAAACTGACCTTAGAGAGGAATCTTATCCAAAAATGCTAGAGAGATCAACAGGCAGAATGTTGTATATAGGACAAACATAGTAATGTCTGATAAAAAGATGCAGGATTTGAATGGGGTGGGGGATTCTCTGAGTCTCTGGACCTATCTCCCAGATATCATAAGGGAAGCAGTAAGAGCCAAGATACTGATCAACAAGCTGAGAAAAAGCTGAGAAGTGAGGAAATAGAAGCTACAAACACTTTAGAAGTTAGGATGTGAAGGGAAGGAGCACAACGGTGATAGGAAATTTTTTGCTATTCTTTGGGGTTTTTTGTTGTTGGTCTTTCTTTTTAGGCTGGAGAAGACAGTTACCATTTTTATACAAAGACAGGAAGAACTAAATGGTGATGTGAGGACACAGTAAACAGTATGGGATATAAAGAAGGGATCGCACATGGAGTTTAGAAAGGAAAGACATCCTTTCTTCAAAATAAGGTCAAAGTAAAAGAAGCAAAATGAATTTTAAATTATAAAATAAATTCTATGTTCAGTAAATAGCACCTGATAAGTGAAAAGTCTATTGGAAATACTGTAAACATAAGATACAGGAGACCCTTAATTTATCTTACAGAGGAAAAAATACTGCAAAGCAAGCCAAAGCTTACTTAGTTAAAATCTATCGATCGAGCTAGTCTGTTTAAACTGACCAGCGGCCAAATCATATGAAATTAAGATTATGTATTTTTAAAATAACATACAAACCACCAATCATTATCTAGAGATATCCTAGGTTCATATTCTTAACAGGAAAGAAATTATACCCTACTCTTTCCTCCCTTGCTGGTAAGTTCTACTAAAATTATATGAATATATATATGTGATTTTTCAAGTTATTTCTTTTTAAAATCATAATTTGAAAAATATCATAGTTCTTAGGGGGTTTACTTCTTTTCTTTTGCTTTCTGGACTTACCTCAAGTCTTAACTTGTTCTATTTCCCAGTATTATTCAACTGGGAATTTTTTTATTTATGTAGTATTCATACATACCCCATTCTGACTGAATAATTTGCATAAATTAATGGTTTGGGTGAACTCTGTATAAATGAAATGATACACTAGTTCTAGTCATGGATATGTTTAACATCTAAGGGAGGTCATTAATGGTTTGGGTGGACTCTGTATAAAATGACATATTTCTAGCCAAGGATATATTCAGCATCTAGGGGTAGGTTCTAGTTATAAGATAAACTAGATCTTTAATATATTACTTACTTAGCATCATCATACCATCACAATTAAATTATTGCTCAAATCTGTCATTTTGCCACAGATTTATTTTGCTTTCAAATAATTTGGATTACCATTATTAATACTGGATTTGAATGTATATGATTCTAACAAAAACCTAATGTCAAATAACATATAAAAACCTTAAACATCTAATAAAGCTATTCTTTCAAAAAACAAAGATATTAGTAACACTTTGAATGTTTAATAAATATTTACTACTGTACTGGTAATAATTTGAATGTTTAATAAATATTTACAGAGTGCTTAACACGAGGCAGACACTGTTCTACAAACTGGAGATTTGATAGTAAACAAAACACAAGAATGTCTGCCCTCATGAAGCTTATATTGCAGTAAAGGATACACATAATAAATAAATATTAAGTCAAATCAGATCATGGCGAGTGCTATACATGTATAGCAATGAGGAGGAACACGGAATGGTAAAACTTAGTCAAGGTAGGCCTAATCAGTGTGACAGTTAAACTTGTCAACTTGACTGGCTTGGCAATCACCTGAGATGAGTAAAGCACATTTCTGAGTATATCTGGGTGGGTCATGGAGGTGTTACCTTGAGGACTATACCTGATCTCTGGCCTCTTTCTCGCTGATATTTTTTCTTGGTGCTTTGATTCCCAATTGCCATGAACTAAGCAACTTTGCCTGACTATGCCGTTCTGCCATGATGTTCCTGCCTTGGAAATAGCTGATCATGAACTGAGTCCTCTGAAACCATGAGCCAAATAAATCTACAATAGGAAAGTGACCAATACAGAATACTGGTAGTTCAGAAATAGGGTTGTTGCTGTGACTATATCTGATCCTGTGCTTCAAAAGTCTTTTGAACTGGTGGATGAGTTTAGAAAGATTTGAGGATGTGAGTTAGAGAAGCACTGGATTACTTTAAGCAAAGCCTGATGGATGATTCTAGTCAGACCTCAGATCAGAATGCTAATAGGAATGTAGACAGTTAAGGCTGTGCCCATGTGGTTACAGACAGGAACAAGGCCTCTTGAAAACTAAATGAAAGGTTATACATATTATACTCTGGCAATAAAAAAAAAAGTCTATATTCTGCTCATATCCTGAGGAGGCTGAAATTGAGGGCAGACTAACTGATCTGGTAGAGGAAATTTCAAGGCAGCCCAATGTTGAGGCAGTGGTATGAATATTGCTGACTAATTTTTGCCAGATCTGTAAGTGAAAACTTGAAGCAAAAAGCAGAGCTGAAATATCTGCAAAACTCTGGGTCTGAGAAGAACCATTTATAAAGTTGGTGCCAAAGAAGTATGATTCCTGGTGAGATTAGCACAATTAAAAAGAAATCAAGGTCTTTGAACTGGGACAAGAAGAAATATACCTTGAGGGCATGTCAGGAATTAGCAAGACCCTCCCTGTTGCAGGCTCAAAGGTATAAAAGTGTAAACCTTTCACTTAAGATGAATTCTTTCCAATGAATTGGATATGGGAGATAAAAGAATCAAGGATGATGCCAAGATTTTTTGGTCTGAGCAATTAGAAGCATGGCATTGCCATTTACTGAGTTAGAGAAGACTGAAGGAGAAGCAAGTTTGGGAGGAAAGACCAAAAAATTAGGTTTGGATATATTGAATTTGAGTTTTAATTAGATTTCTAGATGTCAAACAGGCAGTTGTATGAGACAACAGGAAGTGAGAAAACCTAAGAGGTGCAAAGAAGCTTCTTTGTCTTGAAAATATGGGTGTGAAGCTAAAGTTGCTTATGCAACTTTAAAGATACAGATTTAGATAGTATAACATGGAGGAACCCTCCCATACCTTGAAAGCTCACTTCAACTGCCTTCAGCACAACTTAACAGTTTCAAAGAAATTTTGATTTATACATAAATCTGAGAAATTCCAAGAAGCCTCAGAAAACCCCTTAGGGGTGCACAGGCCTCAAAAAAAAAGTAATTTATTTTTCCAATGGCATAGCCATTACACGTTTTCCCTTAAATTTGCTTGAAAGCAAATATCAGTTCATTTAACCATACATTAATATGTTATAAAAGAAATATAAAATTAGAAAAAACTTTTCCTGCTTTAATGTTCTCCTTAGAGTCTTTCCTAGGGAAATGCAGTAGAACTCTGAAGATAGAATTCACACTACACAATCAGGTCAGATCTTTCAAGAGAAGAAACAGAAAGAAAAAAGAAAATCTCTCTTTCTTTTTTGTTTTCATTTTGTTTTTTGAGACAGATCTCACAAATAAGCCCAGGCTAGCCTTGATCTCATGATCCTCTCCCCCAGCTTCTTCAGCACTAGGGTTAGAGGTATGCACCACCACGTTTATCTTGAATTTTCTTTTTATAACAACTTCCAGTTTTTGCATTCTATATACATCCAAAGTTTGTGTTCTACATACATCTAAAGTTTGATACTTCTATGAAAAAGAAGTTTCAACAATAGGAACAATGTCATGTTACAGTTTTGGTTATACAAATACAAAATGCTGCATCTATATAGGTAATACCAAAATGATCACAAACATTTTAAAGGATTTAAATCTTAAAAATTGAACTTAAAAAAAGTCATATGCAAAGGATTCGCTCAATTGCTCATTCTGCGTATTACCAATATTTGAATACTGAGCATTTTGAAAACTGTGGCTGTTTGGATTAGTACCATTTGATGGTCCTGGCTCATTTATCAGGCTGTTATCTGCACAATTAAAGTCAGATCGCTCAAATGCATCTGACTGTGAAACAAAAACTGTAGTACTGGAATTGGTGCCTACTGATATACTGGAAGATGACATCTGATGGAGCTGTCTTAAGTCTCTTGGGCCTAACACTGAATTACAGGAGGGGTTTTCAAGATTCATGCTCACAAGTCTGGAGTTATCTGTCTCCTCCATTCTGTCACTACTGGCTGTCATCATATTAGGCAGCATGGTGGCATCAGAAATACCATATAAGTGAGCCGGTGACATGGAAGAGGTTTCCATTCTGCCTAGGTCATCGGTACTGTTATAAATACAAGAATTTGAAGCATTTAAGTCACTCTCATGAGGCATTGCCAAGAATGGTGGGATGCTCTGCGAATTAGAAGAAAGTGTTCCCGTTGAAAAACTATTCAATGAGCGTGAGGCTGGGTGGGGCACTGACGACCAGCTTGAAGAAACCATTGAGGACATGGCTGAAGTGTGATGAGACAATCCACCTGAGATGGACACTGGTGAGGGATAGTAGGGTTCTGCTTGACTTGAAACCCCTGAAGGCCTGGGCATGTCTGGAATAAGTGTACCATGAGGAAACAAATTTGATTCTGTGGGAAGAAAAATGTATTTTATAAAATTAAAGTGAAAAAAATTATACACAGCATTATTTCTAAATTAAAATTGGAAAAATGTTAATAAAGAAAAATTTCAAAACAACTGATGTAACATTTCAAGTAAAAATTCTTAAAAATGCATTAAAATTATTATTAAATTCTGTAACATGTAACTTTTATAAATATATATAAAATAATTTTTGTAAGTCATTTTGCCATATGGAATTTCACTTGCTAAATATGAAAATCTATATTTGAGGCCCTGTACATGTATTTTTAAAAAGTGAAAGATAAATATCAGAATTTCAATGAACAGGAATTAACCAGGTACATCATTTCATAGTCTTACTTTCTGGAGCAAATGGAAGGATTAGAGAAGATATATTAAGCCATAACCCTAGGATACAAAATTCTCAATCAGAAAAAATTAAGGAAAAATTAATTCTGTATTAATTTATGGATTACACAAATGATATACATACTAAAGCAGGAAAAAGTGGTGGGTAAAGAACTTAAACAGGTGGGGGAAAAGACCTTTAAGCCTTGGTTTTGAATGATCTAAACTAGGGTTTGGCAAAACTTTTTTTCTATAAATGGCCAGATACTTAAGTATTTTAGGCTTTGTAGCTATACAGTTTCTGCTGGAACTATTTGAAACAAACAAACACAAAAATAGGGCTGAGGGTGTAGCTTAGTGTTAAAAGCACCTGCCTAATGTATGAGGCCCTGGGTATAGTCCTTGGCACTGCCACAAAAATAAAAAGGCAGCTAGAGACAGTACATAACCCAATGAATATGGCTGTCTTCCAAAAAGACTTTATTTATAAAGATAGGTGACTAGACAGATCTAATCATTTCTTTCATCACACAATCCAATTAGTGAAATTAACACTGTATGAATAAAATGTACTTTCTCAAACAATAAATACCCTAAACACGTTTTTCAACGCAGTGTTCAGACGCCAAGCTCAATTCACTTGTTAAAAACATGACAAATTTTGTAGGAGAAGAAAATATTAAGGAAGCAATTGTTTATTCTTAAAAATAGAACTAATGCATTTTGCAAAGCACTAGACTTTCAGATCAAAAGGAACAGTCAATAGGGAATAAAATACCTTTTTTGATGAGTCTTCCTTCTCCATTTGACCCCAGGTGGCCAGGTCTTAGTCTCTCTGGAAAATTAACTGTTACAATCAAGATTTTTCCATTAATAAATATAATTTGAATAATTTATGACTTAAAATCTGAGAAACCAAATAAAACAAAACCTACTTAAATATGAATCAGTCTAAAATATTCTTACCAGAATCTTGCCAAATTTTCTGGAAAAATGGAATTGTTCTTTGTTTCTTTGACTTATTCCCATAAGTATCTGATTAAAAAAAGAGACCAAGAAAAAACCAAAAAAAGAAAAACCAAGAAAGCACGTGAATGAATAATCATGAAATTATGCTTCCTCTCCATTAATAAACATTTTATTTGTATATAGAAAATAATTTAAGGAAATATATATAATATGGATTTAATAAGTATATTATATATAGAATATGTCCCAAATTTGTCATAAAGTGTATTTCTCTCTTAATAAAAACAGTTTAAAATAGTTATCTTGTTTCTTATAACACCTATAAGTCAATGACAACTAATGAAATAAGGACTAAAGCAAGATAAAGATAAGGACTAAAACAAGTTTTCTATCTATAAAAAGGGCACACAATAAGGACAAAAACAGACTACCAAAAATAAAACAAATTTTGATAAATATTTTAGGTACTCTGAATTATTTCACCTGAATCAATTGTTCCTAACAGAGATGCAAAGAACATAAAGGAAAAAAAATCTGACACTGACAGGAAAAGAAATGTAAAATGTGAATACACATAACTACTTAAATATATCTCACAATGTTACTAAGAGGATCAACTTTAAGAAACATAAATTAGTCAAAAGAATTAAAAGAATCATATAACAGTGATATATGCGCACCTATGTTTATAGTGGCACAGTTTGTAATAGCTAAAACACGGAAACAGCCCATTTGACCATCAGCTGGAGACTGGATAAAGAAGATGTGGTTTTTCTATAAAATGAAATACTACTCAGCCAAAAAGAATGAGAAATTAGAGACACTCATAGGAAAATGGACACATATTGAGAATATACCCCTAAGTGAAATAAATAAGTCACACATGTATAAATACCAAATAGTTTCTCTGGTGTGAAAATGGTACATAAGATCCTAATGATATAACTGACAATGTGAAATAGGAAGAAAAGGGATAAAGGTGGAGGGGAAATGGGAAGGGTACAGAAAGGTAATAAGGGAAAAGGAAAAAAATGAGAAAATGAAAAAATGGAAATAAAGTATTTGTAAATAGGGAAGGGAGGAGGGGCTGAAGGGAGGGCAGGGATAAAGTGGAAAAAATAAGAACCAAGACCTGTCATGTAAAGGTACAAGATCCCAATAATGAATGTAACTGTACTGTATCCCTAAAATGTAACAATAAACTCAATGAGAAAAAAAAAAGAAATATAAATTAGTATTACCACAGTGTTGTGTCATACCTTTTTCATCTGGCACATATCTAAAATCCATAGGTTCACTAACTTCCTGGTCAGAAGGTCTCCGCAGCTGCATATTTACTGTTACTGGTTCTGTTATAGCTTTGCAATATGGAGGAGTCTTGAAAACAATAGCTACTTGACGGTGTACATCAGCTTGTGAAAAGATACCTTTAGCTTCCCAATCATTCAACACAAAACGAACTTCTATATCATCTAGTAAATAAGAAGTCAAAGAAATAGTAACATAGGAAAGCCCAGTAACATACATTTGCTAATCTAAAATACATTCTGGAATGAATGAAAAATAAAATAAATACCTTTCTGAACTTTGTCACAAAGTAAAAATATTTCATCTCCTCCCCTGACACTTCCACAGTTCTTGTTTACACGACAAATTCTTAATTCTGCAGTATTTGGAGCACCTAAATATAAAGGATCTTTTTAAAACAGGTTGCTACCTTAGTAATACATTTTATTCTGTTGGGGGCAGAATTTGGGGAAAATCATTTACATAATAGATAAAAACTTTTAATGTACAGATAAAAGACTCTAAATTAATCATACACATGTCCCTTTCTTTTCTAACTGCTTTACCTAACCTGGCTTACAGCCTTATGATTTTATTTCTAGGCAATGACATTTTCTCTAAATAAATCTCCCTGCCTTCTGATTCTGACTCTTCTAATCCATCCTACCCACTGTGACCAGATTAATCTTCTTAAGTCACTGGCCATATCTCTAGAGCAATGCAGTTTTCTGTGTTTGCTTTTAACTGGCCAATATGATTATAATACTGTAGTTTTCCCTGCATCCACACCTCTCCATGATGAGGATACTCTGATCTTACATGCAAAATAGGTATAATCATTCACCATCAGTAAACATATATGTAGGTATGTGTTTACACATTAAAAAATATTTGAGGGCAGTTTCATAATCAAATGATAATTTTTTATATCTTTTGATCTAGCATTTCTACTTTAGGAAATCTACGTGAGAGAAATATCTGCACAAGATATGCACGTAAAACAATATTTATTGTAGTACAGTTTGTTAGAGAGAGGTAGGAAGAGATACTGAAGGAAACAAATATCTTATAATAAATAATGATTTAATAAAATTATGATATAACCATATAATGAAATAGTCTCTCATATTATTGAAAAGAAAAATGTAACTAAAAAGAAGTTCAAGATACAATGCTAAGAGAAAAAAGTTTTTAACAAGACCAGAGATAATTTTTAAAAGTTCCAACATTATTTTGTATGAATCTTGATGATGTATTTGTGTATATGAAGAAGAAACTGCCAAGATAATCATCAAAGAACTATGATTATCTTTGGAAGATGAGATTTAGGAGATTTACTTTCTTTGTTACATACATTTCTGCAATGTCTGAGATTTTCGAAGAATGAACATACATTTTTCTAATTATCAAAATACTTTAAAAATTAATACATTTAAAAAAAAACAAACTAAGAAAGTCTACATATACAGGAAAATAAAGTACTTACGGTTGTCATAAATTGGATTAGAGACAACAGGAGGTAGCGCAGTTGTCAAATTGCCATGTTCATCAGGGAGAAAAACTTGAAAGCACAGTCTGACTACATTGAGGTCGCAATCTTCAATATCAAGCAGCTGTTGTTCAGGAACTGAACAGTACATTGTTCTTTTTAGAATGTAGTATAGTCACAGTACTAAAGTCCTGCTATGTCTTGCTTTCCCCATTACAGCCAACAACCTCAAGTAGCATCTGTATCTGTACTAACCTAAATAGTGCCTTTTATAATCAAGCATTCACTAAGAGTAGCTGATAAATTATACCATGTTCAGGATGTAACTATTTCAGTTAACTGGGATTTAGAGTCCTTCACACTAATATAAAAAATTTAATGGAAGCAAATTATACGTAACAGAATATATCGAATCTTGCAAGAATTACTACCATTCTCTCTCTCTCTCCCTCTCTCTCTCTTTTTTTTTTTTTTTTTTGGTACTGGGCTTTGGGACCTCACACTTGTGAAGCAGGCAGAGGAACCACTGAGCTAAATCCCTGGCCCTATCATTCCCTTTTTTACAGATGATGAGGAACTTAAATGAAATTACTTGTTCAGAGTTTCACAGCAAAGAATTAGTAAGGTGGGAATTTGAACTCCACTCACTCAACCTAGAGCCTCTGCTTTTAAAAAATTAAATTAGAAATTTGTATTTATATTCCACATAAAAATGACATACAGAAATAAAGATTAAAATTTAGATCAATACTTTAGGAATAAGGCTGGGCATGGTGGTGCACGCCTATAATCCCAGCACTCGGGAGGCTGAGGCAGGAGGATCACTGTGAGTTCGAGACCAGCCTGGGCTACATAGTGAGTTCCAGGTCAGTCTCAACTACCTAGTGAGACATCTCAAAAAACAAAAATAAAAACAAAACAAACAAACAAACAAAACCAACCAAACAAACCCAAACAAATACTTTAGGAATAAAATGTCAAAGAAGATACCAAGTGATGTAAATCAGCTAGTTTCCAGAAGAAACTTTATGTGCAAATTAAATCTGCTTAAAAAAAAAAGACACTTCCATAGGAAAAAAATAATATATATATACATGTATGTATATATGATAGAATATACAGTTTGATACATTGAAAACAAACCCAATTACAAAAGAAAATATTGCCTTTTCAAAAAATACCAGAAACTACACTATAACTAATATTGCCATATTTTTTAAAGCACAAAATATACATATTAAATTATAGTAAAATTTTATTTTGTTAAATATTCAAATTTAAAATGCTAAATCAGGAAAACCAGTTAACCAAATTCCTTAATCTTATAGGTAGTAATAAATATATTTTGTTATTACTTAATGATACACACAGTCTCAGTAGCTGTTACATTTAAATTTATGACAGTATAACCATTCTTTGGGGCTGAGGATTTAGCTCAGTGGTTCTGCTGCCTGCCTTGCAAGTGCAGGGTCCCGAGTTCAATCCCCAGTACCAAAAAAAAAAAAAAAGCCTAATATTTGAATAAATATACAAGAACACATTTAGCTGGGCGTGGTAGCGCATGCCCATAATCCTAGCACTCGGGAGGCTGAGGCAGGAGGATTGCTGTGAGTTTGAGACCAGCCTGGGCTACACAGTGAGTTCCAGGTCAGTCTCAATTACATAGTGAGACCCCGTCTCAAAAAACAAAACAGTAGGGGAAAGGTAATAAGGGAAAAGAAAAACATAGGAGAAAATTTAAAAAATGGAAATAAAGTGTCTGTAAATGGAAGGGGAGGAGGGGGTGAAGGGAGGGTGGGGACAAGGGGAAAAAATGAGAACCAAGACCTGTCATGGAAAGGTGCAAGATCCCAATAATGAATGTAACTGTACTGTATACCTAAAATGTACCAATAAACTCAATGAGGAAAAAAAAATTTTAAAAAGAATTTTAAAAAAGAATACATTCGTATGACTAAAAGCTAAAATGTTGTGATGTCAACACTTGTATCATAAAAGCATTGGGGTATCATTATAGAAGCAATAAGAGGTCTATCTCTTCAAAATCAAGTTCTAAAACAATATAAATTTAGAATTTGAGATTTCAGTGTCTCTCAATTTCAAAGACGAATAATCAACACATACATACACAGAAAATGAGTAGCTAGGTGAAATGTATAAACAAGATGTGGTATAGTCAGACAATATAATATTATTAACTAAAAAAGAATATATTATGGATGTAAACACCCCAACACAGATTTCAAAAATATGCTGAGCAAAAGGAATTAGACAAAAAAATAGACTGTGTGCTTATAAAATTCTTAAAAAGATGAATACATATGTGGTGACAGGAAGCAGATTGGGAGTTTACTGAGGCAGACGACGCCGACTGAGAAATGGGACTATGAAAATTCTGGCAGGTGATGAAAATATTCTCCTTTTGTTTTTTGGTGCTCCTATACCAGGGATTGAATCCAGGTCCTTTACACTGAGCCACACTGCCAGGCCTTCTTTCTTTCTTTATTTATCTTTTATTATAAGACAAGGTCTTTCTCAGCCACTAAGTTGCCCAACCTTGGCTCAAACCTGGAATCCACCTGGCTTGGTCTCTCAGAGTGCTGGCATTATAGGCATGTGCCATCAGTTGGAAATGTTCTTTAGCTCAAGGTCACAAAGGAAACTATATTTAGGTGGATTCTATAGCTCAGTGAAAGTATATTTAAAGTATTTTAAAATGTTACACAAAAGTTAATAAGCCAAAAAAATTAAAAACATTTAGTTACATAATGGGTCCCTCAAAGCGAAGAAATTCTACCTACTTAAAAATTCATTTATGATGAGAATTTTGCTTTGAATTTTCTCAATACCATATATGGAAATGAAAGGTCTGTTGAACAATCATTTAGATATCTTATAACCGCTAAAGAAAACTGAAAGTAAAAGTTAACAAAATGAGGTTCTATTTGTGGTAATGGCATATGACATACAAAACTGTTGAGAACTAAGTGGACAAAATGAAAATTCCTCTAAAAATATCAACAGAGAACTAATCAGGTCATGAAGAATCACGGGGTCAAAATATGGGAAAGGAGTAGAGCTCAGTGGTACAGCGATTGACTAGCTCATATAAGGCCCTAGGTTCAAACCCTAGCTCTGCAAAAGAAGGCAGGAAGAAAGCGGGGAGGAGATATGGGTGAAGGAAACCTAAAGTTCAGAATAACATCACTTTTATCTATATATAGTCTGCCAATTAAGAAGTGGCTAAGAGGACATGAAGCAGAGATCAACTCACAACAAAGAATAGGGGAAAACGAGAGTTCAATGCCTGCCAAGGATGGGAGATCTAATAAATGCCCTATTTGGAGCATTTGGGATCTGGAAGAGGTACAGCCTAGGAGGAAGGTGAACTAGAAACTCTTACTTCAGGGAGATAAAGACCAGCTTCAAATGACCTAAATCATTCAATGAATTTCAGGTAATCTAGGATTGCTCATACACCTAGCTATCTACAAGAAAATCTGCAAGGAGATAATATTATTTTAGATCTAAATGTTTTACAAATTTTCATCTCAATGTCTAGTATTCTACTTTAAATAACCAAGTATGTGAGGACAAAATAAAATAATGTTTTAAAAAAGAAAAGACTAGGTAGGGCCGAGGATGTGGCTCAGTGGTACAGCACTTACACAGCATATGTGAGGTACTGGGTTTGATACAAACACAACAATAAACACACATACACAACAAAAACTACACCATAATTAAGTGTTCAGATACATGATTTAAAATAATTATTCTCCACTTGCTCTTAGCCAAAAGGCCAAGAAGTGATGAAAAAATAATTATTCTCAACACTGTATATTCAAAGTTTTATTGGGATATTTTGGGGAGTTTTTTGAGACAGAGTCTCACTATGTAGTTGAGACTGACCTGGAACTCACTATGCAGCCCAGGCTGGTCTCGAACTCACAGCAATCCTGCTGCCTCATCAGCCTTCCCAGTGCTGGGATTACAGGCATTTGCCACCACGCCCGGCTTATTCAATGAGTTTAAAAAATCAGATTAAGAGATTAGTGGGGAACTTGAAATTAATAAAACAAATATATTCTATACTTGGAAAATATAATAAACTGGAATTAAGATTATCAAACTTATTGACTATTTTGTAGAAAACACTTTGTATCTTGTTTTTCTGTACCCCAAGGACTAAAGTATATTTACTAATATCATCTCAGAAAGTTTTTAAGTGTTGATTTATATTAACAATCTAACCCATGGGCCAGGGATTTAGCTCAGCGGTTCTGTGGCCTGCCTTGCAAGCACAAAGACCCGAGTTCAATCCCTGGTACCAAAAAAAAAAAAAAAAAATCTAATCCAGCTGGGCACAGTGGCACACACCTGTAGTTCCAGCACTTGGGAGGCCAAGGCAGGAGGACTGCCACTAAATCAAGAACAGCCTGGCTACATAGTGAGTTCAAGGCCAGCCTGAACTACACAGCAAGACCCTGTATCCAAAAAAAAAGTTACAAAAATCTTTAACCCATACAGGGTGTAAGGTAGGGAAGCCAACGTAATTAATCATTTTCCCAAACTTTTTCTTGTTCTAACATTTTCTAATTGTACCAATGTGTCACTTCTTTCATACACTAAACTCTCTTAGCTCTGTTTCGGGCCACTCAATTATACTCTACTGGTCAATCTGTCTAGCCTTACCTCAATACTACTGCTTTATAAATACCTGTATCTGATAAAATTAGTTTATTTTTGCCATTCCTCTTTATAAAGTAGCTTTCTAATCCTGTTTTGAATTATATTCTCATATTTAATTAAAAGATCTTATGGGCTGGGGATTTGGTTCAGTGGTTCTGTTGCCTGCCTTGCGAGCACAAGGGCCCGATTTCAATCCCTGGTACCACCAAAAAAAATTTTTTTTTAGAAAGGATCTTGCTGGTATTTTGTTTGGATTGCATGAGTTTCTATCAATTTGTGGAATAATGTGATCGTAAAGATGGAACATGTCTTTCCACTTATGTGATGGTTCTCTATCATCTCATGAAATGAGCGTGAAATTCATCTTGGAAGACAGTCACTGAAGAATTAAATTATCCAGATGTTACGATCAATGCTGGGCAAATGATACAACTAAGATAATATAACCTTGGGTTTAAGAGAACTGAAAACGCTTTTGGAGAATTTGGAGTAAGAAGAACAACTTGAATATTTCAGGTAGACAAGTACAAAAAAGGTATGTTTATTCATACATTTATCTGCTTTTTCTTTCAATAAATTTTAATTAAACCATTATCATGTGCTAGACACTGGGCTAAATGACAAAGATACACACAGAAGACAGTTCCCACACTCCAGACTTAGTGAAGGAGAAACATAAATAAAGTTTTAGTAAACAGTATGAAGCTTTGAATGGTACGCTTGAGAAGTTGAACTCAGTAAGTAGGTCAGTTTCTCACAACGTGGTTCAAAGTTCATCTGTACCAGAATCATCTAGGGGCAGAGATTACAAATTGAAGTTTAGTATCCAAAAGTCATGAAATTAGTGGATTAAATAAGCATTTTCTGGAAGGAAAGAAAAAGAAAAGAAAGAAGAAAAGGAGAAAGGGAAGAAGGGAGAAAAAATATAAAATACAGCAAAGAGTAAGGCTTAAGGTAAAGGTACTGTAGTAAAGATGTCATATGTACGCATGTGTAGGCACTGAGTGGAGAAATAAAATCTATTTCTTACTGTGGTTCAGAAAGAAGTTTAGAAACACTTGTCTAAATGTGCTTTTTAAAATCCAGATCCCTAGGCTCCACCCCAGACCTGGGAATATGGCCTAGAATGCACATTTTAAATAAGTACTATGGGGATTCTTATGCGTGTCCAAATTGAGAACTATTGCTGAAGTTGATTTAAAGCCACTTGAACTAAATAAACGTCTGAAATGGTCATACTGATTTCAAGAGAATTTTTTTTTTTTTGGATGCTTTGGAATTTTTTTGGAAAGGAGGCTAAGGATAAAGGAAGGGACAAAAGTTTAGAGGCTAACACCAACAGTCTAGGTTAAAAACTGATGCAAGCCTATATTCCTACAGTGTCAATGAAAAGACTAGACAGGACTGGACTAAGATGGTCAGGGAGGGTAAATGAGATTTTTTTTCTGGAATAGTTAAGGGTTCATAAATAGACAGTGGAAGAGAATATAGGAAAGATGTTAGAGCTATATGTTGGTGACTTTGAATGTGGGGACTTATCAGTTTTAAACTATATAAGAAGCCATTGCAAGTTTCTGAATACAACATTTTGATAAAGAACTATTCTAAAAGTATTATAATGGGGAAAATGACAATAACTCAAATTGTAAGATAAGTTCCTAAAGTAGGGAGGCAGGAAAGAAAGGAAGAAATGGATGATAAAACAATAACTAGCAGGAGATGTTAGCTCAGTGGTAGAGTGTTTCCCTAGAATATGCAAGGACTTGGGTTAGTTCCCCTCCACCAGAAACAAAGAAAAATAACAACAAAATATCTAAGTGATCACTGAAAACATAAATAATGTGATGGATAAACTGGAAGAACTGCTCCTTCCACAAATCTATCTATATTCATCTAGGCAGTATAGAAAGGTTAAGTTCATAATTCTTGGAGTCAGGCTACTTGTATTCAAATCTTGCCTTCACCACTTACCAGCTGTAAGACTTTCAGCAAATTACTTTTCTATGCCTCCGTTTTCTTATTTATAAAATGAAAATATAAACAGTATCTACCTCTTAGGTTGTTATAAGGATTAAATGAAATAAATTTGTAAAACACTATCTACCAAGAATTACTTTAAGTGCTATTTGTATGTTTATTACTCATATCATGTCTGGTTCTAGACTGCAAAAGAAAAAACTCTCCCATTTTCCTTTTAAGAAATTGGGTTTGAATTCCAACTAGCATTTCAATTTTGACTACCTTGGGATGGTATATGACCAAAGCTTTGGTCTTCTCTTCTGTACAGCAGTGTTGTTCAATGATTCAATTAAAAATTGTAGATAAATGCCCATCAGTTGGAAACTGTATAAAGAAGATGTGGTTTTTCTATAAAATGGAATATTACTCAGCCATAAAGAATGAGAAATTAAGCCGGGCATGGTGGCACAAGGCTGTAATCCCCTCACTCGGGAGGCTGAGGCAGGAGGATCGCTGTGAGTTCGAGACCAGCCTGGGCTACATAGCAAGTTCCAGGTCAGTCTCAACTACATAGTGAGACCCTGCTCCAAAAAAAAAAAAAAAAAAAAATGAGAAATTAGATTCATTCATAGGAAAATGGATATATATTGAGGATATACTCCTAAGTGAAATAAATAAGTCACACATGTGTAAATACCGAATAGTTTCTCTGGTGTGAAAAAACTATAATAGTACATAAGGTCCTAATGGTATAATAGACAATGTGAAATAGGAAGAAAGGGGATAAAGGTGTAGGGAAAGTGGGAAGGGTGGGGGAAAGGGAATAAGGGAAAAGAAAAAAATATTAGAAAATGAAAAAAGGAAATGAAATATTTGTAAAGGAGGAGGGGATGTGGGGTGAAGGGAGGGTAGGGACAAGGGGAAAAAATGAGAACCAAGACCTGTCATGTAAAAAGGTACAAGATCCCGATAATGAATGTAATGGTACTGTATAACTAAAATGTACCAATAAACTCAATGAGGAAAAAAATTGTAGATAAAACACTTACTAAATGATAGCTATTGTTTATAGTTTTGTTTTACACTGCACCTAGTCTTGGGTGGACTCCTTAAAGACTGGCCTTAATTTGACAGTGGATCAAAGTTTTCTTTAAGTGAGCAGACTCTTGATACAGAATTTTCCCACTTCTAAAAATTTACCCTACAGAAATAATCACATAAGATCTTCTTAAATAAAATGAAAAAAGGTAAATATTCATTAGAATAAACGAATTAGTCTACCCAAACAGCAGAGTAATCTGTTAGAAAAATAAAATAGATTTGTAAGTACTGACATGGAAAGATGTTTCACATATAATCCTGAGTAGAAAAAAATAAGCAGTAGCATAGCAAGCATAAAATGATTTCTTTTACATAAAAATGTTTATATATGATTATATGTGTTAAAGGAAATTTTAGAAAAATATATATCAAATTTCATAATAATATCTTCTGGCAAGTAAGACTGGAGGGGAGAAAGAGAACTTTTACTTAATACTAAATAGTATGAAAAATGAGGACCTACACAAAAGATATAAACATCCTACGGCTAATAAAACAGTACCTGTTTGTGAGCATAGTCCTTAAATTATCATCATTTCCCCATATTATTTTCATACATCTAGGAAAAATACAAATTTATTCTTTGTCATATTTAAGACATCCTTATATGGTGGGCTTGTATTTATTTATTCTTTGTGAATTTTATAATTATTCAATTCCCGATATGCCTATTTAAGTAGAAGACTTTAGAATGAAGACTACCAAGAAGAATGCAGAAGTTGCATTTATCTATTTAAGCAATAGTGCTAAAAGTACCAGGTGCCATACCCAGACAGTCTCACACACATAAATGTTTAATAAATGCCATCCCAAATGAAATTCACTGAACAGTAAATATCTAGCCATATACACAAATACACTATGAAAATAGTTTGTGTGGCTTCTACTATTTCTATACTTTCATATTTGGGATTAGGTTTTGCTGTTGAATATGCCATTAAATTAAATGTACTCCATTATCTCATAACCACAGTGGCTTTTCAACACTCAGAAAGGAGAATATATATTGTCTGTTGGGAGGTGGCATAGGGAAGGCCACATTCAGAGAGAAGAGAACATCCTGAGGTTTCCTTAGAAAAAACAGTGACACTCTCCAGTGATACCAGAAAGCCTTGCCTATATTAGAATATTTTCCTAAAACCTGAAACATTTTAAAAGCATTTCATTCCTCAAAAGCAGGTTTAAGTCAACAGTAGACAATTGAACACAAAACTCTAAATCACTTTTAAAATACAAGTTCAGGGCATAAATAGAAGTCACATAGTAAGTCAGCATCTAAGTAATAGAAATGGTTATATCAAATATACCTACCATTGAAAGGATTTATTCCTGCACTTATTCTTGAAATAACAGCTTCCTTTACTTCTTTTTTCTTTACACATCGAATACCTAAATTTTGAAAACTAGAAGAAAAATAACTTTCAAAACTGTATAATAGCTAAATAAAATGAATACTACAGAAATCAAATATATATCCAACACTAAGTTATCATGCTGTCAGGGGTAAAAAAGCATGAACTGTACTTCTAACAGCTACGATAAAGAGGTAAGAGTCAAAAAGTGGCACACACTAGATTTCTTAGAGAACTGTTAAAAGAAAATAGTATTTACAGTGCTATATCATTTTTATATTTTAGTTATATCTTACCAATATGCCTATGTTAAATATACCAAAGTAAAAATTAACAGGAAAGCAACACGAAAAAGCAAACAAACTGATAATTAAATAACTGAAATATGTATGCTTGATCATATAAAGCAGAAAGTGTAAAAAGATGCCCACAGCCTGAAATCCACAGATACGTTTCATGAAGCCTGTAGGAGTACTGCCTAAACTAAAAAAAGAAAAAACAAAATCTGTATAATTACCAAAAGTTAAAAATTAATTAGTGTATATGAACATCTGGTGTGCTGGCTTCATGAATGGTTTAGAGGTCTGGCAATACTAACTTCTTACCGAAACAACTGGTTGAGACCAGTGGCCACACTGACAAAAGGCTCTCCAGTTTGCTACATTGTCTGCTAAGTCTGCCTACACTTGATCCTCTACACTTATTTATGCTGCCTGCTTAGACCTTCAGAGATGTAATTTTTTAGCCCCAATTTCACAGCTACTACTAGCAGGGGAATATATTTTGTGCCATATTACATGAAGTTATAAGATATACTGAAATGTGTTTTTTTTTAATTAGAAAGAGGTTAAACACTAACAATATTTAACTAAAGTTTCAAGATGTCACTTATGGAAAACTTCTCAATAGCTACAAATATTACTAGTTTGCATATGTGTAGTACAGAGGATGGTGCAGGGAACTCCCCTACCACCATCAGTCATGCTCCTTCCCACATGGAAAAACCATGACATCATTAAAGCTGGGTGGGTGTGAATAAAGAAACAGAACTCAATTATAATGACACTACTATGTGTTCAAACTTAACATGGCCCTTGGCAACCAGTGGCTGTACTATTTACCCTCCCTCTATGTTTCTGCTGTCTTATGGTTGTGCTCTGTACACTCATCACACTGAGGGTTGTGTTAAGTCTTAAAGTGTCTTTGACAATACCTTTCTCTTCCTCCAATAATTACAAAAATAAATCATGATTTCTTAATTCTTTCTCGAAATCCTGAAACAACAATCCTCTTCCTCAAAGGCATTCTACTCCTTTGAAAGTCTTAGTTTGGTTCTTTTTCTTTGACAAAAGATTTTAAGGAATTCCTTATTCTAATATGTTTATAAGCCACTTTATTCTGTTTCATTTAAAGAATCATATTTTTTTTTACCATGGTCAGAATCATAGAAGTAATAGGGATTTTTGAAATTCTGACAGCTCAGTAGTAAAGCACTTACCTAGCATGCACAAGGCCCTGGGTTTGATTCCTAACATGCACACACACGTGCACACTGTCCCCCAACCTAACCCAACCCAAACCAATCAAACAAACAAAAACTCCACAAAAATCTGACCTGAGGACACCAAGGATCATAGAGGTTATCTGAATAAATTACTCATTCATATTTTCATAACAGTAACAACATGTATTAGAACTCTTCCTATGGTTCTAAGAATTCTGGAAAGTAATGGGGATATAGGACGACTCCTCCCCTTGAAGAACTTATAGTGTGATACAGGGGTTGGCAAGATATAACCCATGGGGCAAATCTAGCACAGTATATTTTCTATATAAACTCTGTATTGGAACACAGTCCTACTCATTCATTTACATATCATTTATGGCTGTTTTCATGCTTCAGTAGCAGAAATGAGCAGTTGCAACAAAGACCATAAAGCCTCCATAGCCTAAAATCTTTACTATCCAGCATTTTACAGAAAAAGTCTACTAGCCTCTAGTCTGGTACGTCAGATAGCTATTAAATAATCACAAACTAAAACTATGACAAGTTTTATAAAGGAAATATATATGTTTAGAGGAGTCTATGATGGAAGACAATTGATCGATTCAGGGCAAAAAGGGAAGGAAGGGATATTTAAGAAACAGAATGGAAGTAGTGGGGAAGAGGAAATAGACTTCTAGGCAAAAGGAACAGAGTGAAAAGGTCCCTAAAGAAGATCATCGTGAGCCCAAGACATTAAGGAAAGGCTTTTGTGAGTGGTGTGTAAAGACCAGTGCAACAGTTGCCCAGTACAACCGAAGCCTGTCTTATGCAAGGTAACAATTTGATTTGTATTTTAAAAGATCACTCTCCTAAAGTGAAGGGAAGACTGAGGGGAAGAAGTTAAAAAAAAAGCTCATGAAAGACTACCAGGCAGAAGGGTGTTCCAGCAGCCCAAATTTAGAACACAGAGGTGTGAGGGCGACAGATCCCACTGCATGAGAACATGGATAGATTCAAGAGTTATATAGGAGGTATGTGTTAGTCAACTCTCACCTGTGCGAGAGGTGTAGGGATGGCACCTGTTTGGGCTTTTAAAGCAACCAGTAAGACAAGGCACATTAGAAGACTAATTTTGAAGGGAAAGAGCTATCAGATTAAATACTACTCTCAGTAAAAAGAACAAGGACTCCTTAGAAAAAAGCTGATGACTTAATAGCTAGAGCAAGAAAACTTCAAGTTTTGAAAACAGTGTTAAATGGAGAGTAAAGAAGTACTTGAAAAAAGAAGAGAACATACTAAATGGACACAGAAGATAGGGAAAGCTGGGTCAATCTGAAATTCAAAATAACGATACTAATGGGCTATAGTATACTGGCTAAAAAAATTCATAAATTGCCGGGTGTGGTGGCGCACGCCTGTAATCCCAGCACTTGGGAGGCTGAGGCAGGAGGATCGCTGTGATTTCGAGACCAGCCTGGGCTATATAGTGAGTTCTAGGTCAGTCTCAATTACATAATGAGGCTCTGTCTCAAAAAACCAAAAAAACAAAAAAAAAAAGAATTCATAAATTGACCATGACATTTTTTAAACAGGGAAGGGAAGGGAAAGAAGGGAAAGTTCTTTGTTAATAGTATGCCAATTAATAACACTAAGAATGGAAAAAAATGTTATGACATGTCTCCTAAGGGGATATTTTGAGAACAATATGACATTACTTATATGAATTAAGGTTACCCAATGTGATATTTTCACACATTCCTATCTCATGCATTGATTGTATCCATCTACCCTTCTTCTACCTTCTTTTCTCCCCAAAATATTTCAAGGCAAGAATGCCTAAAAGTTTAAAATGTTATTGGGAGCTCAACTAATACAGTCAGAAAAGATTTCTTGCTGTGTATACAACTAGATATTTTATACTTTGTTATTAATAAAGAACATTTTAAGAGGTTTTTCTAAATGGTTATTACCAACATATAAGGAAAACTACTAACCTTTTCCTGTTGTAATTAGTTTCATCTTCCCACAAGAACCAAAGATGTTCATTACAAAATAATACAAGTTTTTTAAAAAGTAGCTAGATGTGGTGGTACACACCCATAATCCCAGCACTCAGGAAGCTGAGGAAGGAGGATGGCAAATTTAAACCCAGACCGGGCAATTAAACAAGACTCTGTCTCAAAAAAAGTAAAAATTGGCTCAATGCAAAGACTATGGGTTCAATCCCCAATACTTCAATAAATAAATAAACAAATAAATAAATAGTGAAAATAAAAACCTCACAATCTTACCAACTCAAAGACAACTACTATTGATATCTTAGTATACATACCACTATGTATATGTATAAAATTAGTATATATATAAAATTAGTAATATAGTATGTACAAAATAGTATATATTAGTGTATAAGTTCATTTTTAACAAAAATAAGATTACTCTTCTAATCTTGATTTAAAATCTATTATATTTATCTGACACATATCAACAGACATTTACAATGTTGCTGTTACAACTACACAGGAGTATAATATAGGATGTAATTGTTTGTTTAGTATTCAGATTGCTTCTAACTTTTTGCCATCACAAAGGTGCACTCACTATGCATCATTATAGTTAAATATTTCAACATTCTTGATTATTTTCTGAGGAAAAGTACCTAAGGTAGAACTGCTGGTCCAAGATGCATTCCTATTTTTCAGGGTTTTGTTATAGAAACTGCCTATCAAAAATATTTTATTAATTTTAATTCTTATTACCATAATAAATAGGCTCATCTTTGGTAGTCTCATCAACATAAAAATGACAGTTTTTTATTTATTTTTTGTGGGACTGGGGATTGAGCCCATGGCCTTTGCATTAAGATACATCCTTAGCACCCTCCCTCACCTCTAAAATATTTATTTTATAACAAGGTCTTGTTAAATTAGGCGTAAATTTGCAATTTAGCCTCCTAGAGAGCTGGGACTATAGGAATGCACTACCATGCACAGCTGTTTGTTTTTTTTTAAATCTTAGAACATTTGTTGTATGTTGATTTATAATCTGCCCCTTTCTTAATAAAGTCTAGAATTTTCTAGTTGATTTTATCATATCTAGAAATTTGTGAATTAAACATAAAAAAAAAGATTGAGTAAAATTTTCTGTCATGAATCATTTAAGCTGAGGAAAAAAAACAAAAACAAAAACAGCATTTTACTTCCAGTAAAAATACAGAAGTATTCCTACCCATCATGTGCTGTGTCTACTAGAAAGGGTAGTTCTAAGGTAAACAGTAAGAAAAATGTAAATACACACAACAGTCAATAGGACAAGAAATTAATATATTTGCTAAAAAGCGACAGATAGCCATGGATAGGAAACAGAGCATGCTATGCTTACCCTGTTCCCGGAGATGTGTGTGACTGTGTACTTACAACAGAGGTCTACGTTCTTGTCCAAATTCTGCTTCATAGTAGCCATCTCTGCAGTCTTTTCCAACTAAGTCATGAGGGTGAGGTTTATATGGGTCATTCTTTGTTACTAATGTAATTCTCACTTTTCCCTTTCCATAATAGTTCATAATCTGAAAAAGGAAGTAGTTAAATACTATCTATGATCCATAGATATACCCATTAACAACCAATCTAAATTAGAGTTCAATTTATATAATGTAGTAGCACTGGATTAAAAAAAATTTCAACTGACCACCAACTGCACTTGGGCTGAAGCTTTCCACAGAACATCAGTAGGGAAAAACTTATTTGTCAGCACCCAGACATACCATTTTCTACTGTTCTTTCAACTGGCTATATCATCGGACTCTACTTATTTTCCTCAAAACTAGTAAAACTATACCACAATTTTTATTGCAGAACATACGGAAATATCAGGTGTTACATAACTAAGTGCCTTGCTCTTAGATGCAGTCATATCATAAACATTCCTTGAAAATATATAGTGATCCACACTACAAATGACAGTACAGAAACGTTCTATTAAATATGTGATATTTTACAAAATATGTGCTAATGGGTAGACATATAGTGTTCACTGTACAATAAGCAATAAATCAAGTTGAAATTAGTAAGATTAAGATTCACACAGAAAATACATCTAGGACACTCACCATAAAAAGGCAGGAGACACTTAGAGATGGGGAAGAACTAATGTTCATTTCTGAAGCTATCAAATTTGACAGAACAAGCGAGGAATATAAAAACCAGTATAATAAAAGGGAGCTAGGTAGTTAAATAAGAATGGGTAGCTTCCTAGGCAGAGGACACTAAAACCCATTAATTCTACATTTAGACATAATGTGAACAGAAACCTGGAAGTATCTGTTGTCTTTAGAATGAAAGAGAAGGTAACCATTTAAGACTGTAATAAAGGCTGATTTAGATATAATTCAAGCCATAAAGTAACCTACTGGAATGCTAAGGACACAGATCTCAGAAATATTTTAAAGACATATATAGACCAAATTAGTTATTTAGTAGAGTTAAAAATGACTTGAAAGATAAGAAGAAAAAAATTTTAAACTTTACTTTTTATTATATCTCACCCATTTTAACACTTAAATAAAAAGACTTGGAATATTCAAGTCCATACTATTGCCAAAAACACAAATTTGGGTCAGGTGTGGTGGTGTACACCTATAATTTCAGCATTTGAGAGGCTAAGGCAAGAGGATCTCTGTGAGTTCAAGGCCAGTCTGAACTGCAGAGTGAGATTCTGTCTCAAAAACAAAACAAAACAACACTATATATTTGGTAGTTAGATGAGAGAAAAAAACTCTGATGTTTTTCTGCACAGTATTATGATCAAGATAACAATAATGTACTATAAATTTCAAAAAGCTAGAAGAAAGGACTTTGAATGCTTTTACCATAAATTATAAATGTTTGTGGAGATAAAGTATATTAATTTAAATACCATGCAACATATACATGTATCAAACATTATTCTATCCAATTATGTATAAAATTTGTTTTATGTTATCAGTTAAAATAAACTAGAAATTTTGTATTACTTAATTGTGTTAAATTATAATTTAGCAAGTTTCTAAGTTCAATAGCATAAACTTTGTAACTAATGTAGTTATAAAACAGTGAATTAAGATCTACTGATGAAAGATGATATGCACAATTTTCAAAATCCACTTTGCTAGTATGCTTTTTTTGTCTGTTTTGATCTTTTGAGGCAGCATCTCACTATTTTGCACAGGCTGGTCTCAAACTTCTGGCCTCAGTCTCCCAAGTAGCTAGGGACAGCAGCAGGTACGCCCCATTGCAGCCAACATTGTATTAACTGGCATTTGAAGGATTAAAAAAGGCAAGTAAAATACAGCTTATAAATATAAATATAGTGTACCGTATTTGCCAGAATCACTTTTAATCAAAAACTCTTTTCAAAATCTGTTAACATGAAAAAGTTATAACATCTTGGGCTGGGGATTTAGTTCAGAGGCATTGTGCCTGTCTCACAAGTGCAAGGTCCCAAGTTCAATCCCTGGTACCCCCCCACCAAAATTATGATATCTTAAATGATGTCAATGACACAGAGGATCTGATATAGTTATGAAAGGTAAGAAAAGAGGAGAAAAGATTTTCTTTTCCACAGGTGCTGGACTGTCAGATTGTAGAAAGAATAATTCTTTTTTTTTTTGGTACTGGGAACAAACTTGGAACCTTGTGCTTGCGAGGCAGGCGGCGGCACCACTGAGCTAAATCCCAGGCTCCAGAAGAATAATTCTGATTAAGTTCTCAAGTCCATGTTTTAATCTATGCAATAATTTCCTTTACCTTTGTATGTAAGAATGTCTTTTCCCCATTAAATATTTTGTGTTCTATGGAAGGAATAATGCTCTAAAAGTTGCCAGTGTATACTAAGTACTATAAATCACTGTAATTAATACACACAGAGATAACTACAGCAAGGAAGGCTTGCATTTAAGAAATTATTCTTTTTTTGTTTTTTAAGACAGGGTCTCACTATGTAGTTGAGACTGACCTGGAACTCACTATGTAGTCCAGGCTGGTCTTCAACTCACAGCAATCCTCCTGTCTCAGCCTTCCAAGTGCTGGGATTACAGGTGTGCGCCATCACACCCAACCAAAATCATCTGATAATCTCAATTTTTTATTTTTATTTAATATTTTGGGTTTTTTTTGTTTTTGTTTTTGTTTTTGGTACCACGGATTGAACTCGGGTCCTCGCGCTTGCCAGGCAGGTGGCAAAACCATTGAGCTAAATCCCCGGCCCTTAAGAAATTATTCTGCACATCTACCTACTACATATAAATTCAAAAGAAAAAAGAGATTAAAAGGAAAAGACTGTAGAGGTGACTGTAAAGAAACTAAGGCTTAATATAGTTGCTCTAGCTAAAATATGAAGAAACTGGAGGTAATTCAGGCACAGGAGAAGGGTCTGTTACCTGGATAGACGGGTATGTTCGGTTGTCCTCTGTGTTGTGCTCCCCTGGAATGCTGCCTGCAGATCGCCCTTCACATTTGTATCTGAAACGCATTCCCCTCTGCCTGGGTTGTTCAATTATCTCTATATATGGATTATACCCACCTGAAAGTTTAGAAAGGGAAGGGGGCAGTGAGATTAGAATACCAATGTAATTTATTTTAATGATTTTAATAAAAAAATTTAAGTTTGGAAAGGTTTTAGACTTAAAAATTGTGAAGGTAGCACAGAGAGTTCCTATATATTCTTCCTATTGTTTCATTTTATTTAAGTATAGAACATTTGCTATGATTATCAATATTTTTGGTGTACCTCTATTTTTCCAACATTTTATGAAAATGTTCAGTCTTATAAAAAGAATATGGGCTGGGGATTTAGCTCAGCAGTTCCAGCACTTGCCTTGCAAGCACAAGGACCAGAGTTCAATCCCTGGTACAAAAAAAAAAAAAAAAAAAAGAAGAAGAATAGATCAATGATAACCTATGTAACTCATTACCTAGCTTTAATAGTTTTGCCAAGTATGTATTTTTATATATGTATCTTTTTCCTGAAACAGTTAAATGTAAGTTATAAGATATGTTATTCCTAGTTGCTACAGCACAATATCCCCACAAAAGGGCATCCTTCTACATGACAAAAACAAAAACAATAACCCCACACATAATGATTTCTCACATCTAAGGTATAAGAAAGTCTCCATCATTAGCCAGGTAGTACATGTTCATATTCTCCCCAATATTTTTTCAAAATTATAAAGCTCTATTTTGTTTTTTTCTCATTATATATTTTATTAATACATATCACTTTTATAAAATATTGGGGTTCATTAGGAATTTTTGGTTTTTTAAAACAGCAGACTAAAACCAAGATTTTCTTTCCCAACATTAAATAACAAGATTGAAATATAATTATTCAAGATTGGATGGAAGAGAACTTTTTCCTCATTCAAATTAAGCTTCTATGTAGTGTTAACACAAGTCATTCAAATCACATTGATTTATCAGTGCTTTACGGCTTAGTATCTACAGCTAATGTCTGTATGAAGTTCTGAGTTAACTACTTCAGAGATACATACTTTACACATGAGATCAAGCAGAAGGGTTTTCCCAAGATTCTTCAGAATGGAGAATAAGGTAATATTCAGAGATACAATATATTCCAAAAGTGAGTAAAATGTACTTAACTGCTTGATTTTACAAAAGACTGAGTGGATGAAAAGACCACTCACTGAAAAGGAAGATACATTTAAATCCTTCAAGAAGCATACACAAGTTTGGAAATTAAAGGACTTGAAAATAGGCTCAACATATTTTTCAGTCAGTCTCATCTACACCTTTTCTAAAACATAACATACAATGGAGGAAAAAGAAAATAATTACTTTCTTCTTAGTTTTTTTTTTTTTCCTGGTACCAAGAATGGAATTCAGGACTTTGCACTTTCCAGGCAGACACAGGGCTGCTGAGCTACACCACAGCCCCTTATTTACTTTCTATAACAAATATAATTTACAATATGTACCTTCAGGTTGAATACCTAATACAAATAACTACATAAATGACTTTCAAAATAATCAGGCTGAATGTAAGAAGTAGGACCAAAAGAGCACACATTATGTAATTCCATTTGTATGAAACTCTACAATACATAAATCAAACTATCATAAAAGAAAGTAGATCACCAGCTGCCTAAAACAGAGGCATGGGGTGGATGGGAAAGTTTAAGGAATGATGGAATTCATTATTTTTGTTTTGGTGTTGATTTAGATTATCTACATATGTCAAAACTTATCAAACTGTATATCTTAAACATTTATAATTTTTTATAAATTATACATCAATAAAGTTGTTTAAAATTATGCATCTTTATCCTTCTTATCCAAATCATGAAAACAAAAGTTCAGTAAAGACACTCAATTGTGAAATGTGTTATTTCAGGGGTGTGAAGATATCTTTCATTTAAAAAAGAAAACAGGCTCCCTGTTTATTTAGTGATTTCTTAATTTCCACAGTAACAAATTCATTTCACTAAGGCTTGTCCTGTTAGAATGCAAGCAATCTCTCAGATTGCTTCAGTTAGTGCAGTATGAGAGCAGGCCTTCTGGATCCCACTCAACCACGTCTTCACAGTAAGACCCTGGAAATGTTATTAACATCTTTGCCTTGTCTGTAAAATAAGAATGATGATAGCAATAGCACGAACTCATAGTATTGTGAGGCTTAGACACAGCATTATATGTGTTAAATTCTTACCAAGTGTTATGCATAGAACAGGTAATCAATAAACAGTATCTATTATTATTTTGGATACTTTCTTGAAAATAATGTATCGACATCATCACTATCGCAATCACTAAATGACTTTATAGAACAATGAGACAAATACCACAAATTACTAGATTATAAATAGGAGGAAAGCACTAACAAAACTCAGCAGAAAATGATGAAAGCTAACGAGTCAGGAATGCTTAACTAGATCAGAGGGGAAAAAAGGTAAAGAAAAGAAAACCATGGGGAAAGAAAGGAATGAAAAAAAAAAAAGCATTCTAGGGAAAGGGAGAAGTGTGTCCATAGAAGGGTGTACTTAATCACCAACGGACATTTCCACTCTTGGAGAATAAAAAAATCAGAGTACATGTAGTGATAAGGATTTTACTGTATGTGTGACAAAGTCAATATTTTATGCAGGGAAATCAGATAATCAAATTGGCATTCTAGATTAAGAATTCTGGTGGCAGGCTGGGAGTGACAGTACATGCCTATAATCCCAGCACTTGGGAGGCTGAGGCAGGAGGATTGCCATGAGTTCCAGGTCAGCCTGGACTACATAGCAAGTTCAAGGCCAGCCTTAGCTCCATGGCAAGATCTTGTCTCAAAAAAGAAAAAATAAAAAAAGAAATCTGGTGGGAGTAGACAAGATTGAAGAGAGAAAGTAAGGTAATCAGTGTAGAAACTGCTACAGTAAAATAGTCCTCTCTTATTCACAAAAGTTCCACAGAAACACTTAACTGGCTGGAAGAGAGGTTAGGTAGAACTCTTGAAGACACTGGAATAGGAAAAGATTTTATAAATGTTTAAAACCTCAGTTGCCTGTTACCTAGCACAATCAACAACTGGGATCTTTCTCTCTCTCTTTTTTTTTTAATTTGTACCAGGAATGGGACTCAGGCCTTTGTGCTTGCGAGGCAGGTGGAGGCAGGTGATGGAATGACGGAGCTAAATCCCCAGCCCTGGGATCTCTTACTAAAAAGCTTCTGCACAGCAAGAAAAATGACCAACAGTGTGAAGAGACAACCCACAACGTGGGAAAAAATTTTCACCAGCTGTTTCTAAAGACAAAAGTCTACTATCTAGACTATGTAAAGAACTTAAAAAAAATCAAACCCCCAAAATTTAAAGACCCAATCCAAAAATGGGCATCTGAAAAGAACAGACATTTCTCAGATAAAGAAGAAGAAACAGCACATAAACATATGAAAAAATGTTCAACATCACTGGTCATTTGAGAGATGCAGATGAAAACAATGCTGTGATTCTACCTCACCCCAGAAAGAATGGATGCTATCATGAAATCAACTAATAAGAAATGCTGGTACAACCACTGTGGAAAACAGTATGGAGATACCTTAAAGACCTAGAATTGGAAGTCGCATTTGACCCAGCTATTTCCCTGCTGGGTATCTTCCCCAAAGAATTAAAAGAATCGTATCACAGTGATATATGTGCACCCATGTTCATAGCAGCACAATTTGTTATAGCTACAACTTGGAAGCAGCCTAACTGCCCATCAACTGGAGTCTGGATAAAGAAAGTGTGTGTGTGTTTAATAAAATGGAGTACTGCTCAACAATAAAAAATGAAAAATGAGAGACATTTATAGCTTAATGGATGCACATTGAGGCGATGCACTTAAGTGAAATAAACAGGATACACATGTGTAAATATCAAATAGTTTTTCTGGTGTGAGAAACTAAAAGTGTAAATAAGGACTAAAAGGTATGATAGGTAATATGAAACAGGAAGAAAGGGGGCAAACGGGAAGGGAAACTGAGATGGGTAGGAGAAAGGAAAGAAGGGAATGGAATTAATATGAGAAAGCGAAAAAATAGAAACAAAGTCTTCATAATTAGGGAGGAATGGAGGGGTTCAAGGGAGGGTAGGGGAATGGGGAAAAAACAGGAACCAAGATAGAGTATGTAAAGGTGCCAATTTCCAATGATGAATGTCATTATATTGTACATCTAAAATGTACCAATAAAATTAATAAAATGCGAAGATGTGTTCCAAGACCACCAGCAGACATCAAGTTTCAGGTAATGCTGAAACCTATATACATGAATTTTTTGCCTCTACATATCTATGATAAAGTTTAATTTATAAATCAGGTGCAAGAATAGACTAACAACAACAATGCTAAAATAGAACAAATATAATAATACTGTAACAGCTATTTTAAAGTTATTATTTGTGGAATTGTCCATTTAATATTTTTGGACTGCAGTTGACTGTAACTGCAGAAAGTGAAATTGGCTAAGTGAGGACCACTGCTATGTGGGAAATTATGAGGTTATGTCAGAAATACAATTGGACAATGAAATAGAATGAAGAATTATTTGTAAAACTGACAGTATTTGGTTTCTACATTCTTTTTTTTTGTCAGTATCTGGTTTCTAAATACAACATTAAAAGAGAATTACTGATAACTACAGTACATGGTTTCTACTTTGGGTTACTGATGTACTGATTACTATTATCATTAATTTGGGTCAATGATTACTATTATTATTAATTTTACATAGTTTGATCAGCCTACTTGTGTTTGAATCTGCTACCTATTTGTTTATTCAAAAGACAAAGAGGTGCCAGGTGAGGTAGCACATGCCTGCCTGTAATCCCAACTACTTAGGAGGCTGAGCCAAGAATATTACATGTGTGAACTACAGCTCTGTCAATTTAGCAAGACCTTGTTTCAAAATAAATTAAAAAAGGGGCTAGGGGTGTAGCTTAGTAGTATAGCACTTGCCTAGGCTGGGCTCAATCCCAGTACTGAAGAAAAAAAAAGGTAGAGGCAATGGAGGTAGCATAGGAGAAATGAGAACAATGGTATA